CTTGCATACCTAAACATCTCTCTGTGTTTGTACTCACCATAAAGCAGCAGTGAATATAGAATAATTTGGTCCTGTACTGAGGACATTCTGTCCCTCATCCTGCTCGGGGACAAAGGGCTGAAGGACATACTCAGAGGAAAAAGTGATAATGGTAACAGCTCATATTTCCATAGCACTTTATGGTTTACAGGAGACTTTCCTTGAAATAACCCTGTGGCATAGGGAGTACAAATATTCCCATTTTGTAGATGGGGAGACTGGAGCTCAGAGAAGTCAATGGCTTGCACAAGGCCACACAGCCAGTAAGTGGTGAAGGTGGAGGCTTGAACTCTTCTCTTCTGACTCCAGAAACATCAGTCTTTTTACTATCCACTCTCTGCTTCTCTGATGATCTGCAGTTGATCCTCTGTATATCTTGTTTGTCCAGAGTGGTTTGTATATTGTCTTTCCCATTGGACTATGAGCTCCTTGACAGCAGGGATTGGTTTTTACCTTTTGTGTGTGTGTCTTCGGGGCTTAGCACAGTGCATTGCACACAGTAGGTACTTAATAAATGCTTCTTGACATGACTTGATGACTTGACTTTGTCTTGCACCCTTCCATAGAAGCCGCAGCTATGTAAAAATGGAGAAGCAATTTTAGATCAGATTGCTTAAAGAGTCTGTGGATAGGAAGTCTTTATTTTTACTAACTTCTAACAGAAATTTAGCATTTCCTTCTATCATAAATGTAGGCAACAGATATTCTGAGAAGGGGTCCATAGGCCTCACCAGATTGTCACCAATGTGATCTGTGATTTAAAAAAAATGTAAGGAACCCCTGGTTTGGAGGGACTTGTAGAGTTTTCCTCTTCCATTTGCCTAAGGATACTAGCTTCTGGTGCAGGGGTGGCTGCTGTGAGACCAGTTGGTCACTCTCAGGACTTGTCAGTCACTATTGGAGCTGGTTGGACACTGTGGAGGCCAGTCACCTGAAGGACCCTGATCCCTAGACACTTGTCACTGCCTCCTGGTTAATGACCTTCTGGCTGGGACTTGTCTGGACTAATTTCTGCAATTAGGCAGGTTCATTTTCAGAGGCTGGAATGGGAACTTTTCTGAATTAGCTTTTATGGTTCAGAGCTTTTAATTTGAGATTTAAAAAACATCATTGCTGGCCCAAACCAAATAAACGGCAACTAATGAAATTCACAGAAGTTCTCTGAGAACACTTCTCACTGGTGCTCCTGGATGATTTATTGACAGCTGGTTGTAAAAACAATCTTATTAAAGGTCATAATGTTGGGTAAAAAAAAAAGGTCCTTTAATTTATAGCATAATTAGGCTTCCTCCAATAGGCACACTGCCAGAGCTGTCACTTACAGCTTTGAAATAAGCACTTGGTGTTTTTAATTATATCGAGGAGAAGGCGTTCAAAGTTCCAGTGGGGCCCTGTGACTTTCTCTTTATGGTCCTTTTATTGCTGTTAAAATAGTCAAAACAGGGGGTTGATTAGAGCCCACCGATGCCTCCTGATTACTGGAGAATTTCTGAGGGGGAGGGACTGAGGGATAATGGGTCAGAACAGGAAGGATTAAAAGAAGAATGGTGGGAGGGAAGTAGAACAATAAGACTGTTTTTTTTACATGGAGGGAGGGACAGTGGGACAAGGCTTTGGGATGTAGCAAACCACCTCACACCTCCAAATATGTGTGGATTGAAGGATGTCTTTAACTGGGCTGGGGAGAATATGCTAAGAGGATTTGGGGAATGCTAAAGTTATAGGGAAGAGGTCAAGCATGGAGCAGGAAATATGGACCAAATGAGGCCTTTTAAAATTGCTAATGTGGACCAAGGGGAACTCAGGAGCCTAGCAGAAGAGGTAGGGGTGTGAAGGGTAGAGGAAGTCAGTCCTTCAAAGTAAAGGGGCCATTAGGTCCATTCTCTCTATAAGTGGAGGAGGGAGCAGGGCTATTATTCTGGTTTAAGTTATTTAATATCGCCTTTACACCCAAGCCTCAGTTACAGCAAAGCCTATTTTTTACTCTGGTGTTGAAACACATTTTTGTGATGCTTTGGGAAACTTCTCTAATGTAAAGGCTTCCGGTATCATTCCCAATTTGAAGATCCTTTCCTAGGTTTCCTATGGTTATCATAGGAGCTGGAAGTCATCCCATGGTGCCAGGACAGTGAACCTCCCGGGGGGATGAAGTACCAGGGATGAAGTTTCCCCTTACATCTACCTTGCCTGAGATTTCTGTTAGGCTCTAGAAGCTGAGAACCATCTGCTATGATAGATTTGGATGGACAGAGGACAGCTTGAAGGTGCCTTCTGGGTGATGTTGGCAGAAAGAATTGGAAAGCCATTGTGAAGTCAAATGCTGCTCCCCAAGATCAGCACGAGCTCAGGAGGTATCCTTTGGAATTGGACAATTTTCAATATTCCTAAATAACCTGCTATTCTAACTTTATTGTCTAACTTATTCAACCAGAGAGAACTGTATTATGTTTATGAATATCTAAACATGTGTTTTTTACTGTTAATTTATTTCAAACTTTAAGCATTATAAAAAATCAATTAAGTTACATTAATGATAACTTATGCCCTGATGTTCCAATGGCATACAAGTGGTTGTTGAAATAATCACTTAAACTAGGAAAATAAAAACTCATTTCTTCAGTGTTTACATCATAGTTCTTCATGCCATGTACTAGTACTATCCCAGAAAAAGAGAAGTTATAGTGCTGCCGTACATTGCCCTGATCAGACCAAATCAGAAAACACTGTGTTCTGTTCTGGGCACCGTGTTTGAAAGAAGACATTTACAGACTGGAGTAGAAGAAAATGATTTGTATAGTGAAAGGTCTGAAAACCATGCTATAAAGGAGGAAAGATCTCAGTATCCTCTTACTAAATTAGAGGGTTTAACTGGATAATCTGGATAAGTTTCTTTCAGCTTTTGGCATTCTGATTCTAAGAAACTTAGAGGGAACTGGCGATGGTTAGCCTGGAGAAGAGAAAATTTAAAGGTGCTATCTTCAAATATTTGAGGGGTTATGTGGAAACAGACTAGCTTTATTCTGTGTTATTCCAGAGGACAGAACTATGATGAACAGGTTGAAGTTATAGGGGGCAGATTTTTGCTCAGTATGAAGAACTTTCTAGCAATTAAAGTTGCGTAAAAATAAAATGGAGCTTGAGATAGTGAGTGCCTTGTAATATTTAAGTGATGGTTGGATGATCGAGATATCAGGAATGTTGTGTAAGGGGGCCTTGCATTGGGTGGTATGACCCCAATTCTAAGATTCTTTGCATCTATGAATTTCATGCTCTTTCTTGGAGACTTAGGGTCTCTAACCAACTGTGAACATTTTAAATGAGTTAATCCTTGTAGCCCTGGCTCCAGCTGTCCAGTGTATGAATGTTTGAAAGACCGCAGGAGAAAGCTAACTTAGCTGGGATGATTCTGGAATCAAGAAGGTTCCCCAGTGATCTTCCTCAGTGGTTTCACAGGCTCTGTGCTATCTTCTACTTTGTTTATACAGAATGATTTAAAGAGCTCATGTGAAAAAGTGATTAATAACTAAGCCTAAAAAAGCAGACTAAAATGCAGTGCCATGGGGCCAGGGACTGAGCCCTCACAGATACCAGAAGCTGGACATTTATGCTTAGTATGGGGGAGGGTACTGACTGCTCAGGCACTAGGACTGAAGGATGGGGTCATTCAAAATGGTATCCAGATTGAGTGCATTAACCCTGGGAGACATATCCTTGGAGTTATCATTGTTTGGAGATAGATTTGATTCTCTAAACCATGTCTAGCTCTCAGTTCAGATCTATATTTCTGAGGAGCTCTCAGTAGCTGACTCAGTGGGAAAGACTGAGAAAGAGAAGTTATGACCCTGTTACTGTCTCCAGGGGGGTAGTAGATAGTAGAAAAGTATCTGTCAGTGATATGGGAATTTCCCTCTAAGAAAGAAGTGATGATTATGGGTGGAATGTGGAGATGTTCTCAAGGGTATCTATCTATCTATCTATCTATCTATCTATCTATCTATCTATCATCTAATAGTAATAATAGCTAATAATTACATAGTACTTACTATGTGCCAGGTACTGTACTAAGTGCTTTATAGTTATTATTTCACTTCATCTTCTCAACTACCTTGGGACTTAAGTGCTATTATTATTTCCATTTTATAGATGAGGAAATTGAGGCAAACAGAAGTTAATGACTTGCCCAGGGTCACACAACTAGTATTTGAAGCTGGAGTTGAGGTAAAGTCTTCCTTACTCCAGGACAAGAGTCCCATGCACTGTCCCTTAGCTGCCTCCAGATATTGATATCTATCTAGATATAAATGTAGATATAGATATATTTAATATATTTTCTGGGCAGCTCCTGGACTTTTGCTTTTGTCACAACGATGTGCTCTTTGAGAGGAAGTAATAATGATAACAATAATAATAACAACAACTAGCATTTATATAGCATTGACTATGAGCCAGGCACTGTCTTCAGTGCTTTACAGTTATTACCTCATTTGGTCTAGTTTTGCACATGGAATCAGACAACTAGGTCCAAGTCCTATATTTGCCCCAAATGCCAGGTACTTACCAGTGCCTGACCTTGGGCATCGCTTCCCTTCTCTAGGACTCTTGTTTCTTTCTATGTAAAATGAGGTTTGGGTCTAGAAAGTTCCAAAAGTCTGTTTGAATGTTTCATAGTATTTACATCTCCTTGGTAACGTTGGAAATGGAATCTGGATCCATAAATCTCAACCATTTCAAGTATGATTTCTTTTAAAAGGTATCCAAAATACTTGGGCAAATGAAAGGGAAAAGGAGTCTTTTATGTACATACACACATATATCCAATAGTTGAAGCTACAGTTAAAAAAAGGAAGAGTATTAGATGAATCTCCTCTAAGAAACAAGTGAGTAATAAATATGCTCGGATATCTTAAAGCATTTGGAGACATATATGCCTGTGACATGATGCCCTTCTCTCCTCTTTGCCTAGAAGCTGGTCAGTGTCAAAGCAGTTATTCATCATTTTCAAATTCCAGGTAATCTCATTTCCTGATGAATCTTGGCAACCCAAAGGGGGGTTTCTTATGAACTCTGATCCCAGTTTGCTGCTCACTGAGGAAATAACTAACAGGTGCCTGATTTTCTTAGCCATGAATCGGCAAGGTCTGGTTCTCTTAAACAACAACAAAAAAATTCCTTCATGAAATCCCTTAATAATGGTAATATTCTACTATCAGACTCAAAACCAAAGGACAATTGTTAAAGACATATTTCAAGCTATGAAAAGCAGACAGCTGTCTGCTCTGGCTCTTGGGTCATGTTTCATGGTTATTCTCTACTCAAAGAACCTTTCTCCCCATCTATTCCTTAGATTAGGGGATGAGTTGGAGGTTAGGTTTAGGTTAGGGTTCGGACTAGAGTTGGGTCTGGCTGGGGTTTGATTTCTATTTTGGCTGAGCATGGGTTGGGGTTTGGATTGGCATTAGGGTTGTGTAGTCTGTCAGTTGACCCTTTAAAAATTACAGAAGGGTGGGGCTAGCACTCATGTAAGAGTCAGGTTGCTAATTTTTCCAACATACATAGGAAACTCTCAGCATCTTTCCAGCTTTCTCTGTCATCTATTATCTGACTTCTCTCAATTTTTCATCTCCTCATTTGTCACTCATCTTCCTGCTCTTCCTCTGTCAATATAGACTTTGCCCCATCTATCTGGGCTGTTTCCTTGAGTATTGATATTTCCTTGACTTTGTTGGCTCTCTGTTCCAATATGCCTAGCACATAAAGTCACACAGAAAATAACTTCATCTTCCTCTGTCTCATGCATTTCCTATTGGTTAACCCCCTGAACCTGTTTTCGACTTGATAAGGGGTAGGGTTTGATTAGGGTTGGGGTTATTATTAGTTTAAAGCTTTGAGTTAAGATTGGATCTAGGATTGTTTTAGTGTTGATAATTGGTTAAAGTTTAATACGTGGGCAAAAGATTTAGGTCAGGCTTTCTTTTGATAACTTCAAACTCTATCTGTGTCTTACGAGTTCCTTGCTTCTCTTTGTATTGAGACAGGATGGTAATAGGGGAATGAGTACCAGACCTTGAATCGGGAGCCTTGGATTCAAATTCTTCTGATACTTACTCTCTGCGTGGGCATGGGTAAGTCATATAATCTCCCTGAGCCTTAATTCTAAAGAATGGGAATATTGGTAGACTACTCCATGGAATTACGGGGAAAATCCTTAGTAAACCTTAAGTCGCTGCACAAATGTGAATTACTGTTATTGGTCCAAAGGTTCATTCGGATTAGCAAATGTTCACCCTGATCCTGCTGCTCTTGTCATTCAGGATTTCAGTGGCATGAGACAAGGTATGAGTAAAACTATTTCTCTGGTGTTGTCTTGGGTCCCAGCACCTCAGCTGCCCTGTTCACCCAATGACCAGATTCCAGAGATAACTGAGTTACCACGGGGTTGGGGATTTTTGTCTGCGTTTCTGTGTGGTTGAGCAGGTGTGTTGGTTGGGGAGCTCGACTTCCATGCTTACTCTTTTTCATTTCTGGGAAAGAGATGGATGGGAAGGCAATTCTGGACAAGGGAAAGGACACTGGAGTCTATCCTTGTCCCTGAACAGTTGGATAGGTTTGGGCAGAGTTGTTTTGCTCACAGAACTGAGGCAGTGAGTGCAGCAATTTCCTGAGTCTCAGAGGAGTGTCTGTGAGTATCTACAACTGGTTGCCTGATTCTAGCACCTACCATGAAGCTAGTCAATATTCTATATGTTATAATTATATGAGTGATTATGGCTCTTGTTTAGGAGATTCTACAGTGTCTCTAGGGATCTATAGAAGTTTGGATTTCCCCTGGAAGATAATAAACTTGGGAATTCTGGAGAGGTAACCCACTTTCCATCACCCCTGCAACCTCTGAATTTCTCATGGTCATTCTAGAGGGCCAAGTCTAAGGTTTGCTTCTCCTTCATGTGACTTTGTTCCTTATTGTTTCTCCAGTTCTAGTTCCTCTCCGAGAGACTGGCACTGTCCAGTAATTTACCCATATCCATCTAGAAAGCTAGATTCCCCGACTCTCAAGTTTGGGGTTGTTCTCCCAGTGGATTACGTTATTCAAATAACTAATAGTAGCATAGGGCAATATCTAGATATTTGCTTCCATTCTAACTTGAGGGGAAAGAAAAAACACACCTCCTGTGTGCCAGGTACTACACTAAGCAAATATGATCTAATTTGATGCTCATCCCTACCCTCTGCCGTAAGTACTATTATGAAAATACCATATAGTTCAGGATACAGAGGCAGATGGAGACTAAGTGACTTGCCTAGAGTCAGGAAGATTCCAGGCCCAGTGCTCTATCCACTATCTATCCAGATAGTATATCGCTACCTCTCAATATCACTCTTGATAGGTATGGGAGCCCTGGGAATGGTAGCACCTCACAGATCAATGATCCTGCTTCCTACCCAGCCCTCCAGCTATAGCTGGGGAGGTAACTCTTGTGGAGAAGAGACCAGACATTCCCACCAATTGTCAAACAAATGCTGCACCCAGAACACCTAGCCCGACTAGCTGAAGCAGCAAGTCATCTTGAAGGGGAGATTTCAGGAATCAAGTGCTGGCAGGTCTAACCACCTATCTCCCTCACACCCAGTCATCATTTTGGAAAGCAAGCCCTGTGGAGATGCAGCCTGGCAATTGTTCCTTCCAGAGCTGTAGCCAAGCAGCTGGAAACCCAGAAAAGAAAGTTCTTGCCACCAAAGTCCTTGGCACTGGCAAATATTTCAGCAGCAGAAAATGACATGATTTTATCAGTGGAAATGGCATTAAAGAAAGAAGCATTACCATCTGCTTTGCTGCTACGCCCTAAGGACCATGGAATCTCTCCATGTGACTTCCATATGTGTTATCTCCCCTGTTAGAATGTGAGTTCCTTGAGAGCAGGGACTGTTTTACTCTTTTATTTGTATCTCCAGGGCTTTGCACTTCACAAGCTCTTAATAAATGCTTTATTCCTTTCCTCATTCATTCTTGGGCTGCAAAGGTGAAAGAACCTGTACAGCTTTAATGTACCAATTCTGGTACAGCCTCTGGTCTGTGTTGAGTTCTTTGAGGAAATACTTAAGATACAACTCTCCACTGAAGACTATCTTTTATAGGCTCAGTGCAAAGCAGTGGCACAGATGGTAATAGCCCAAGGCAATCAAACTGTCTCCAATCTACGAGATTTAATCACTCATCCTCAATGAGGTGTGAATGGGTCAACAAGTATCCAGACCCTGGAGAAGTGCTCCCATTGAGGTGTTAATGGACATGTCTTCACCCTTGCAATCCACGGCGAGACAAATCAAAATCCCAAATCTCCTTTGTGGGAAGTTTGCTCTACTTAAGCAATACTTTAAAAGTAACCGCAAACAATAAACCCACGAGAAGTTTGGCTTAATGGAGTAGATGTAGATCATGCTTTGTTAAGAGCATAATATCTCGTTGGATGGGCAACCCATAGTAGATATGTTGTTCATCAGTAGATACTAAATAAAAAATGGACTGGACCCAGAGATGAAAATCAGGCTAGATTGGAAAATTATGCAGTTCTTATAAGATGCTCAATGGCCTTTCTCATTCATTCATTCATGCATTCATTCATTCAGTCAGTCAGTCAGTCATTTGACGTCAGCATTCCTCTTGTGGTAGGTAATGGGTAAGTCATCAAACAACACTGAACACCAAAGAATATTCAAAGGATTGAAACTGGGAATTACTGGGAAGACAATGGTAATGGAGAGGGTGGGAATAGAGGCAGTATACTCCAAATGAGGACTCATGCTGGAAAAGTGGTGCGAAGGATGCCATTAGGGAAATTTATCACTAGAAAAAAAAAGCTTGGCTGGTCATATAGAGGGAACACAGACTTACATGGGAATAAGGTCCCTGGTGGGTTGAGTGGCTCCCATGTGGCAGATTTCTAGAAGAGTCTCACAGGATAAGTGGGGATGGATGGGTTTCTAGCTGCCTCATTGGAGGGAGGACCTTCATCAATGAGATCACACAGAGTCTTTATTTAGGATGATATTATTTAGGATGATTATTTGGGATGACAACAGGGTGCTCTGCTTAGAAGAGATGGATAGATTCATGAAGCATTTATTAAATGCTTACTGTGTGCCAGGCACTGTACTTAGGGGGGTTAGGGATACTAACATAAGGAAGCAAGACAGTCCCTAATGGGTAGCATAACACATGAGGTGAAATGGGAAAAGGGGAGTGGCACGGTGTATAGGTTGTTAGAATGTGGCTTAGAGGCCTGATTGTGAAACCATACAACTTTTCTATGTACTCTCAGCTTTCATCAGTCTCCTTTTACCCATGTATGGCCACAATCTGCATCTCTATTTCTGGACTGGTAAGCATTGCTGGAAAAAGTCAGGTAGTTAAGTGGCACAGCAGAGAGAGTGCCCGGACTAGAGTCAGGAAGACCTGAGTTCAAATCCTGATTCAGATGCTTACTAGCTATATGATCCTTGGCAAGTCACTTGAACTTTGGTTTGCCTCAGTTTCCCCATTTGTGAAATGGGGATAATAATAATACCTATCTCCCAAGGTTGTTGTGAAGATCAAATGAGATGTTTGTAAAATGCTTAGCATGGTGCCCGGCTTATAGTAAGTGCTATGTAAATGTTAGCTATTATTATTAAATCAAAAAAATGGGCAGATTGAGTCCAGTGCTGGTTCATGCTACCTAACCTTTTCTGGAGTCTTACTTAAGCCTGGTGTTATAGGAAGGGGAAGGGAAGAGAATAAGCATTTATATGGTGCCTACTTTGTGCCAGGCATTGCGCTAAGTGCTTTGCAACTATCTCTCCTGATCCTCACTCAAGCCTGAAAACTAGTTGTTGTTATTATGCCATTTTATAGTTGAAGAAACTGCTTGCCTCATAGTGAGAGGATTGAGGCTCCAATTTCAAGGTCTGTTACTTACTGTGTAACTTGGGCAAAGCACCTCAACTCTCTGGCCCTCAGTTTCCTCATCTGCCAAGTGAGAGATTTGGATGGATGAGTTCTAGGTTTCCTCCAAGTTCTGATTCTTATACTGCTCAGAAATTTCAACCTTTTCCCATTTCTGGTTGACATCCCCAAAGGGTTTCCATTGTTTGTTCCAAACCTTTCCTATGCTTACATCATTATATGATTACCTCACTTTAAGCATGTTTTCTCACTTCCAAATTTATTGATTAGAGAAGATTCCTTGCTTCCTCAATTTCCCTCTTCACCTAGAATTTTTCTCACTATGCTTACCCTTACCTCATTTCCTCTTGTCTTAGAGTAAGAAGTATCTATACACTTTTATATGGTTCCCTCAGGGGCAGTTAAGTGGTTCAGTAGAGTGCTGGACCTAGAGTCAGGAAGACCTGAGTTCAAATGTGGCCTCAGATATTTCCTAGCTGTGTGATCCTGGGCAACTCACTTAACCCTATTTGCCTCAGTTTCCTCATCTGTAAAATGAGCTGGAGAAGGAAATGGCAAACAGCTCCAGTGTCTCTGCCAACAAAACCCAAATGGGGTAAAGTCATTCACAACTGAAACATCTGAACAACAACATGTTCTCCTCCACCTGTTCTCTTGATCCCATCCTTCCCCTTACCCTCTAGGGCCTCACTCTGACAATCATCCTCTCTAATGCATCTTCAATTCCGGAAACATTCAGGTGCATGTTATAGGTCCTGGGGGTACAGAGAAAAAATAAAACCATTCTTTCCCTTATGGAGTTTACCATGTACTGGGGGATACAATACAAAGGAATATACATTTAATTTGGGGTTGAAAAGAGACCTAGTAACTGGAAGGGTAAGGAAAGATGTCAAGGTCTTCTTCTACAGACATGCTTAAGTCTTTTCTATCTAACAAACAAACAAAACCTCTGATACTCTGAAGCCACTTTTCTCTATTTCCTTCTACTAACCTCAAAACTTCTTGAAAAAGGTATTTGCACTTATTGCTTTGACTTCCTTGAAACCAAACCATATATATATATATATATATATATATATAATATATATATATATATATATATAAACTTTTCATAATCTGGCTTCTACACTATCCACAATACTTATATTGTTCTCAAAAGTCGCCAATGACTTCTTTGTT